TATATATATATATATATAACATAGTCTGAACAGTTAGGAGCTGGCAACCAAAATCTTGGAGAACAAAAGGAAAGGTTACCTTTGAAACTTGAGATTAAGAAGATGGTTATTTTGATTCAGAGGTAGTGATAAACTTCTATTAAGGTACAACATGTGGTCCAGTTAAATAGAAGGATAAAAATAAAACACTCTCACGTTTTGCATGTCATTAAATTCCTATGGTACCTACTAGGGTATACTTTTATATTGTTATGGTGAAAGTGTAAAACACTTGATAATCCTTTTAAAAAATTTCTTTTATAAGGAGCAAGGAAAACTATATATCTTTGGTCAACCTCCTCCTGAGTATGTCCTATATAGATTTGAGCTCTCCTCCAGTTTCCTCTGGAAAAATTAGGAGGAAAATTATCTGCACATCAGATTGAAAATAATACTGGGGGTTAGTTCATGGCTGCAAAAATTTCCCCATATCACTTGGTGAGGCTGTTTTACCATGTGGTCTATGTTCTAAATCTGGAGAGAAGACTTGGCTTTGTTCTTCCAGTATGTGCATTGCCTCTGATTAGAAGAAGATAAACTTTTCTCATACTCGGTTAATGGCTCTTCTATAGAATCAAATCTCTAATGAATCTTCTTTGGTAGTAAACACTGGAAAAGAGACACATCCAAAACTCATATATTGCCTTGTTCTGTATACCTGAGTCCAACAAATCTGACAGAATAGCAAATCCCATTGTTTGCAAGGCTTTGGACTGCAATTTTCTAAGTAGACTCTGAGCGCCGCTGTTGGCCAATGCGCTGCAAGAGCAGGAGTCCACGATCTACCTAAGTGATTTTCTGCGCAGTCACGGAAGCAAGTCTGAAAGGAGATGAAGCCCACACATAGACTCTCTGCTCGGCAAATGATTTTGGAATACAGATTGGGATGCCTTGAAACTGAAGACATTGAGTTTTCTACGTATTGGCAGTAACTATTTTAAACACAATTTGTAAAGCATCTTCTCTTAACATCAGAGGCTGTGGCAGCGCAGAAAAGGATGGGAACTAGGGCGAAGCAGAGGAGCTATACCCGGCAGCGGCAAGTACTCTTTCCCTTCCTGCTGCCTTTGTTCTGTGGGGGGCTCTCTGAGCAGATCCGCTACTCTATTCCAGAAGAAATGGCCAGGGGCTCAGTGGTAGGAAACCTTGCTGAAGACCTGGGGCTGCATGTACAGGATTTATTGACCCGCAACTTCAGAGTTAGTGCAGAGAAACAATACTTTACCGTGAACACAGAGAATGGCAACATACTTGTGAGTGACAGAATAGATAGGGAGTTGCTCTGTCCCCCAAACCCTCTGTGTGTCCTGCCCTTAGAGATTGTGGCAGATAATCCTCTAAATGTTTTTCACATATCTGTGAGGATAGAAGATATAAATGACAATCCACCTTATTTCCCCCAAAATAGCATTGTTTTAAAAATCAATGAACTTGCAATTCTTGGAACTCGATTTGGTTTGGAATCTGCTATAGATGCAGATGTAGGACCTAACTCTCTCCAGAATTACCAACTCAGCTATAATGAGTATTTCTCTCTGATGGTGAAGGATAAGACCGAAGGCAAGAATGCCCCAGAATTAATATTGGAGAAGCCGCTGGACCGGGAACATCAGAGCTCCCATCTTCTGGTCCTGACCGCAGTGGATGGAGGTGACCCAGTCCGAAGTGGCACCGTTCAAATCAAGATTGAGGTCACCGATGCCAATGATAACCCCCCAGTGTTCAGTCAGGATGTGTACAAAGTTAACCTTCCAGAGAACTTGCCCTCAGGCACCTCTGTGCTAAAGGTGACAGCCATCGACCAGGATGAGGGCATCAATGCAGAGATCACCTACTCCTTCAAAACAGTAAGAGATATTGGAAATATGTTTATGCTTGACCATCAAAGTGGAGAAATTAAATCCAAAGGTCCTATAGACTTTGAAAACAGTAGTAGTTATACCATGAGTATAGAAGCCAAGGATGGTGGAGGCATGGCCACTGAATGTAAAATTATAATAGAAATTTTAGATGAGAATGACAATGCCCCAGAGGTCATTTTCACTTCGGTGTCAAGTTCCATAACTGAGGACACAGAACAGGGGATGGTGATTGCTCTGTTCAAAACACATGACAAAGATTCGGGAGAAAATGGAGAGGTCACATGCCTCATAAAAGAAAAAGTTCCTTTTAGAATTGAATCTTCTGCCAATAATTACTACAAACTTGTAACAGATGGGGCCCTGGACCGGGAGAAGACCCCTGTGTACAACGTCACCATCACAGCTACTGACAGGGGAAAGCCGCCTCTTTCCTCTAGCTCAAGCATCACTGTGCACATCGCAGATGTCAACGACAATGCGCCCATTTTCGAACAGGCGTTCTATATGGTCCACATTGCCGAGAACAACCCTCCAGGAGCCTCCATCGCCCAAGTCAGCGC